CCAGAAAAGGGGTGTGGTTCCCGCCCCATCACTGGCCCTGCAATTCATCTTGAAAGGACACTTAAGCAGGAGTGGGTGCACACACACACCCACACACCCACTCACACACTCTTGCACACACACACTGTCTCTCTCAGTCTTCGGAAGCACACCAAGACAATACATAATTTTTTTTGTCATTTCCAGATGATTTTTTTAAATCGTAAGTTCCTTATTTACTCCATTTTTACAATTGCACCATTTTTCCTTTCTTTTTTTTCATTTTTGTGAAATTTTGAATATGAAAGGACCAAAATTTTAGGCTGCCTGCTTCTTTTTTCTTAATTGAGATTTGTATGGAGATCACTGCAGACTCACATACATTGGTAAGAACAGAGGTCCGTGTGCCTTGTACCCAGTCTCCCCAGTGATGATGTCTTGCAAAACAGCAGTACACGGTCACAGCCAAGCCGTCTGCTTTTTCGGGTTTTTTTAATTGTGGTGAAATCACATATATAAGATTTACCATCAGCGGCATGTAGGACGTCGGCAGTGCTGTGCGGCCTTCGTCACTGTCTAGCTCCGGAACGTTTTCACCATCCCCTGAGGAAACCCTGTAGCCAGCAGCAGTCACTCCGCATGCCTCCCTGCCCTGCCCCGGCAGCTGCTCGTCTGCTTTCTCTCTGTGTGGATTTTCCTCTCTGGGACAGTTCCTGTAATCGGAGTCATACAGTACGTGGCCTTTCATGGTTGGCCTCTCACTTAGCATCATGTTGTTGTTTTTTTAACACTTTTTTATTGAGTTATAGTCATTTTACAATGTTGTGTCAAATTCCAGTGTAGAGCACAGTTTTTCAGTTATATATGAACATATATACATTCGTTGTCACATATTTTTTCACTGTGAGCTACCGCAAGATCTTGTATATATTTCCCTGTGCTACACAGTATAATCATGTTTATCTATTCTGCATATGCCTGTCAGTATCTACAAATTTTGAACTCCCAGTCTGTCCCTTCCCACCCCCTCCCCCTTGGCAACCACAAGTTTGTATTCTGTGTCTATGAATCTGTTTCTGTTTTGTGTTTTTTTTTTTTCAGATTCCACATATGAGCGATCTCATATGGTATTTTTCTTTCTCTCTCTGGCTTACTTCACTTAGAATGACATTCTCCAGGAGCATCTATGTTGCTGCAAATGGTGTTATGTTGTCAGTTTTTGTGGCTGAGTAGTATTCCGTTGTATAAGTATACCACATCTTCTTTATTCAGTCATCTGTTGATGGGACATTTAGGCTGTTCCCATGTCTTGGCTACTGTAAATAGTGCTTAGCATCATGTTTTTGAGGTTCATCCACGTGGTGTCAGCATCACTACTTCGTCCATTTTTACTGCTGAGTGATACTCCGTTGTATGGACAGACCGCGTTGTGTTTATCCAGGCATCAGCTGGTGGTCGTTTGGGTTGTTCCCACTTTCTGGCTGTTGTGAAGAACGCTGCTCTGAACATTCATGTAGCTGCTGTTTGAACCTCTGTTCCCGTCGTTTTGGTAAACATCTAGGAGTAGAATTTCTGGGTCACACAGTCATTCTGTGTTTAACCCTTCGGGAACTGGCAGACTGTTTTCCACAGCCGCTGCAGCATTTCACAGCCCCAGCAACACTATATGAGAGTTCCTGTTCCTCCATAGATTCACCAACACTTACTTTCCATTTTCTTTTTTCTAGCCTCCCTTGTGGGTGTGATACGATATCTCGCTGTGGTTGGGGTTCGCATTTCCTGGGTGACTAATGATGTAGAGTGTCCTCCATGTGCTTGTTGGCCATTTGTATGTCTTTGAAGAAATGTCTATTCAAGTCTTTTGCCCTTTTTTTTAGTTCAGTTTGTCTTTTTGTTGTAAGTTTTAAGAGTTCTCTTTATGCTAAGAGGGGAGGGTATAGCTCAGTGGTAGAGTGCATGCTTAGTAAAAGCACTGGGTTCAATCCCCAGGACCTCCATTAAACAAACAAACAAACAAACCTGATTATCTCCTCCCCCCAAAAAAAACAAAAATAAAAAATAAAGAATTAGGCAAAAGTCTTAAAAAAAAATTCTTTGTTCTGGATACTAGACCCTTATATATGACTTGGGTTATCTTTTCGCTTTCTTTACAGTGTCCTTTGATGTACAAAAGCTTCTAATTTCCGTGGAGTCCAATTTAGCTTTTTTCTTGTTGTTGCTTGTACTTTTGGTGCTATAGCCAAGAAACCGTTGCCAGATTTAGCTCTTATATTTATTTTTGATCCTTTTCAAGTTAATTTTGTGTACGTGTGAGGTGAGAGCCCAGCCTCCTTCTTTTACACGTGTGCTGCCCAGTTGTACCAGCACCATTTGTTGAAAAGACTGTTCTTTTCTCATTGAGTGACCTTGGCAACCTTGTCAAAAATCACTTGACTATAGCGGTTTATTTCTCAGCTCTCAGTTCTACTCCATTTACATGTCTGTCCCTCTGCCAGTGCCGTCCTGTTTGGTTATTGCAGCTTTGTAGTAGTTTTGAACTCAGGAAGCATGAGTCTTCCAACTGTGTTCTTTCTCAAAATTGTTTTGGCTGTTTGAGGCTCCTTACAACTCCATATGAAATAGAGGATCAGCTTCTCCATTTCTGTTAAGTTGCCAGGTGGGCTTTTGCTTGGGGTGCATTGAAATCTGTAGATGGTTTGGGTGGCGTCGCCTGCTTCCTGACCGTGGTGCAGAGCACTTCCACAGAAAGTGGCCCGCAGACCGGCTGAGTCAGAATCACCTGAAGAGTTTGTTTAAAAGGTCGTTTCTGGGCTCCAGCCACAGAATCTGATGTGGACAGTCTGGCTCCGAGCCCAGGAACGTTCCATTTTAACAAGGTCCCCCGACGGGCCCCAGGACTCTGAGGTGTGAGAACTCCTGGCCCTCCAGTCTTCCCCTCGTCCCTCTGGAGGGGCCTTGGGATCAGCAAGAGCAGGCTTCCTAGTCTGAAGGTGGCCAGTTGGTGTGCAGGGTACTCTGCACAGCTGCTTCCTGTCCAAGCTCTCTGTCCTTCTGGCCGACCTGTCAGATCACTGGGACTTGTTCCAGGCAACCTTGTGAAGCAGCACTTCTTGGGCCGTGTTCAGGAGCCCCGGGGTGGCTGACGTCTGTGGACGCCTTGCCACCCCAGGCAGGTGCCTGTCTTGCCATCCTGCCTCTGCGCAATCCCTTTTCTCCCAGAGGCCGGGTGCTGTGCCCATCTCACCTCCACTGAGGCACTTTGGCTGGGAGCTCCTTTTGTTCATCGCATCTTTTGTTTTTTACCACCTGTCCTTGGATACATCTCCAGAACTCTCTCTCTGAACACCTCTGATCTCAGAGCCTGGATCCCAGCAGACCGCCCTGTCATCCACTGACGAGACAGACTTTGTGCGTGGTGCGGCCCAGGTTCAGCCTCTCCGGTGCCTCCCCTCACTCCCCGGTGCCTCCCCTGCCCACCTTCTGCTCCTGGTTCATTCTGTTCACCCCTCAGCCTCACTCCAGCCGACACCCCCTTGGGCAGCCCTCCCTGACCCCCTGGTCTGATGCCCATCAGATGCTCCCAGGTCACCTCGTTCTTCACCTGTAGCTCCTGTTACCTGCTGCAGTCTTACAGATCCTTGTGTGACTCTCTGAGCCACGGCGTGCCTCTCACCAGACTTTAAAATCCAGGAGTCAGGAAAATGGATCCCCAGCGCCCAGCACAGTGCCTGGCGCGAGGTCGATGCCCCAGGAAACATCTGGTGGGTGGGTAGGTGGATGATGTGCGGGTGGGTGATGGGTGGATGATGACGGTTGGGATGAGTGAGGACAGGTGGGTGATGGATGAATGAACGGGCAGGTGGCTGAGCCAGGAGTCCTCCCATTGTGTGTCAGGGCCTGGGGGTGGGCTCGGGCCAGGCCAGGCGGGCACCTCCAGATGGGCCCTTCACAGCATGGGGCTGGCAGAGGGATGAGGACATCGTAGGAGACAGCAGGACTTAAATGACACCCTGTTCTCAGTACCTGATGTCACTCATGAGGCCACCGTGGGCCAGACACGTGCCCGGCTCTTGACCCCAGGTTCTGGTGTGGACTTGAAGAGGCCTGGGTGGAAGGGTGTCATCTCCCGTCCGGGAGCCGCCGGAGCAGGGCTGGGCCGGGCCGCTGCCTCCTCGCCTGCCCCTGTTTCCCAAGATGCTCACAGCAGCCCCGCACAGCCGACTGGGCCCTCGGCCTGCTCCCCTTCTGTGTACGGAGCAGAGCAGGGGAGGTGCTCGGAGCGTGGGTGGAGACGCCCGCCACGCCAGACACCCACCTCAACCCCGTCCTGGGCCGCCCACCCACCCTTCATACAGCCCTCCGGCCAGTTCACACACCTTCTCCCTGTGGACCCCCTGCCACTACACTCACAACGCCAACAACTTTTTTTGTGGTTTTTACTTTTATAATTTTTAAAATTAAACTTTCATTTTGAAAAACTTCACCCCAACAGAAAACTTACAGGCAGATTTCAAGAAACTCCCGTAGACCCTTCACCCAGATTCACCCACTGCTAGCACTTGGCCACGTGTGCTTTCTCTCCGAGCCTGAAGCTGTGAGGACCCTCGGAGGCCAGGCCCCTTTCCCCAACCCCGGATCCTTCAGGAGTGTTTCCCCGCCTTCCCTTCCCCTGCCACCCCTCCTGCTGTCACCAACCGTCACCGCCCGTACACAGCTGCCCTCCTGGCCCGGGACCCCGCGGGTCTGCTCCCCATGTCCCTACCTTTTGACATCTGGCCCATCTCCGCCTGTGTCCCCCCAGACCTGCGGCCACTGAAGACTTGGGGCTGCCTGTTTGGTGGGAGGCTCCCGGTCTGGGTCTGCCGGGCGTCTCTGTCCCTGCAAGGCTGCGCTGGGGACAGGCCTGGGCCCCTGCCACTCTTGCTGTGCCTCCGCCCCGCACCAGGCTGACGCGGACTCCCCACACCTCCAGCCTTGCCCTCTCCAAAAATAATGTGTCTCTGCCTTCTTCCTGCTGCCAGCCCGCCGGGGTCACCTTGGTCAGCGTCCACTCCAGCCCCAACGACCAGATGCTGTGGGCCCTGGACAGCAGGTGGAACGTGCACGTCCGCACCGGGATCACTGAGGAGATGCCTGTGGGGACCAACTGGGAGCACGTGCCAGGTAGGGACACCAGGCCAGCTGGGCTCAGGGGCCATGCAGCTGCCGGCATGGCCACAGCCATGGCTGGACTAGTCTCAGGCTCTGCTGAGGCAGATGACAGCAAGTGTCTGTCTCGTTCCCAGTGTAGGGACCCAGCCCCGTGTCCTGGGGGGGATGATCATCTCTGGTCCACCTGGACCTCCCCACCCCGGTCTTGGGCTCTCGGCGGCCTTGCCCTCAGCTCCCGCTCCGAGCCAGCCCGGAGCAGGGCGCTGTCCCCTTGGGGACTCTGGTTGACAGGCACACAGGCTGGCAGGAGGGCTGGACCGTCCCTTCTGCGTCCGGGTCTGAGGACAGGCGATTGCCCTGCTTGTCTGCAGGCTTGCAGGCCTGCCAGCTGGCCCTGAGCGCCAGGACCGTGTGGGCCCGCTGCCCCAGCGGGGACCTCGCGCGGCGGTATGGTGTCACCGACAAGAACCCTGCTGGAGACTACTGGAAGAAAGTCCCTGGCAGTGTGACATGCTTCACAGGCAGGTGCTGGGCCCTGTGCGCTTGGGACTCCCTGGGCCATGTTGGGGAGCTCCTGGGGGGCTGCTTCTGCTGGGCTTGCTCCCAAACAGGAGCCCAGGGCAAGGCCTCCTCTGGGGTCACAGCTGTGGGGGGGGGGCCCAGCGCCCAGCCAGCCAGGGTATCCCAGGAGGAGGACAGGGTGCCAGGCCACCCACTTTAAAGCTGAGGAAACTGAGGCACAGACTGGGGGTGGCATGTCCAGGGCCCCACAGCTAGAAAGTGCCACGTCCAGACATGGAGCTCAGGCCCCTGACCACCTCTGCTCTCTTCCCGGGCTGGGTGATCCATGAGCACGTGGCTGGCTCTTGTCCCCGCAGTGACCTCGTCAGATGAGCTGTGGGCAGTGGGCCCCCCCCGGCTACCTCCTCCAGCGGCTGACAAGGACTTTCAGCCACTTGCACGGTGCCCCGAGCAGCCACACCACCACCTCCCACCCCGACGACCTAGAGGACGAGTGGGAGGTAATTTGAAGGAGCCCTCGGGAGGGACCCGAGCCTCGAATGGTGGACACGGTCGGCTCTGAGTTGCTCTCTCTTGGACACACCTTGTCAGCTCTCGTCTGGACACGTCCAGCCAGGTCGGCCACCTCACGCTTGCTCTCATCCTTGTTCGTTTCCATCTCGTTCCAGCACCCACGGCCTCAGCAGAGTGGCCCGGAGCCACAAGGCCCCTGTGCTCTTGCTGAGGTTGTCCCCACGGGGACAGTGGCTGCTGCCCGTGTTCCACAGCCACCCCTCCTCGCTGACTACTCCAGGTCCCACCACAGGTGGGACACGTCAGAGCTGGGTCAGGGGCCACCCTGGGAGCCACGACAGGTAGCCATGTTAGTAGCTCCAAGGCATACGGAACCGAAGGTCAGTGCTGTCCACCCGCTGACTGTGTTAACGATGGCTTCGTCTCTGCGCAGGGTCCCTCCACCTCCTCTCTGAGTAGCAGGTCCCAGCATGCATTCCACGCTGGACATGCCAGATGGGAAACCAAGGCTGTGTTTGAGAGGTGGGGTGCTGACTGTGCCAGGACAGAGAACACACACTCACAACTCCCGCACACGCGCCACACACACCCTCCCTGCCCACTCACGCGTGGGCCATGCTCGCCTCCCTGAGAGCACACCTCAGCCAAGACAACAAAGGCCAGTGGATGGACGGAACCAGAGTGTGCGCACGTGTCCGAGGCAGGGCCGGCGCAGGGCGGTGCGGTCGGGCCCGGGGCCCCGGCTGGGCCATGGCTGAGGGATGTCTTCAGCGTGGTTTCTCAGCCAGTGCTGCTGGTGGGCGTCATAGAATCCAGAAGCGCCCTCCTAGGATGAATCTACTGATTATTGCCTTTTTTGTTTGTTGTATTACAAACCTACATACGATACCTCATTTGAAATCAAATCTTACCAATTTAGGAGAGAAATGTATTTTCCAAAATGAGTGGAAGGCCTTTCACTGCTTCCCGCGGTCGATCCTGAGCCCGCACTGTTCTCAGCTGCAGCTTCAGGGAGGGTGGGCACCCGCTCCGCGTGTCCTCGGAGCGCAGGGCAGTCGTGGGGCCTGCCTGCTGACTCCGAGAGGGAGCCGGGCCCTGTCGGCAGGCTGCTGGGTTGATGCAAGGTTGAAACGGGCGCCTGTCTTGGTTGGTTGCTGTGGCCACGTCAGACCCCAGTCCATCCTGGGGCTTGGCCTGCAGTGCCCGCCCCTCACTGGCATCTGAGCTGTCAAGAGTCCACGCCCAGCCCGTGTCCCACCCTGAGCCCACCTCCCCTCCCTCCCGGAGGCAGCCCCGCGGGAGGATGCCAGCCTAGCTGCTTTTTTTAGCGGCCCGCGGCCCAGGGCCCAGTCACTCGATGCCT